GTATCTGCGTGTTATTAGTTTCTGCTGCTAACATTGTACTTGTCACGTCCTTGTTTACTTCTCATGGCATGTTGTAATCTTTCATTTTCACGAACTTTTTTTTTGCCTTTCTAGTTAGTTTCTAATAATACTGCTTAATGCATAAGGAATAAAGTAAATTGATAACTAAGCATGACTTCCACAAAGTTAGCAATTTTTTCTTTTTGTAATTGGTTATTCTGCTTGTCTTTTCTGAATTTGTTGAAATTATTGAATCTTGCATTATCGACTTCTTACCTGGTTGAACATTAACAAACTCTTGCGACAATAGTCATTCTGAGGGTCCTCATAAACAAAGATAAGCTTTTTAAACTTTCTTTGATTTCCTTATTGTCCTTCCTTGAGTGTCTTTGATTTCCTTATTTCTAGAGTAGTTTAGTCTGAATGTTTCTGTTCTGCTGTAACTTAATGTCCTTATCATTCTTATTGTTGCTGTTTTGAATTCATGCTCAATATGTTTGATTCAGTTGTGAGACAAACCTACGTCCAAGCTGACCTCAAAACCCAGGGCCTGAACCCAATTGAATCTGGCATCTAGTAAGATGCATGGTCTTAAATTGTCTAGGGCGTCTCTAGACTGCATAATGGCTTTATTCCTTGATTACAGTAATTGTAGTGTTATTCAGGTTAATCAGGTTGAATTCTGCATAGGACATCAATCAAACATGTAGCTTAATCTGAGAATAGTTATGGTATCTTATGAATAATCGTGTAGTACACATAAAAAATATAGATTTTTTTCTAAAAAAAAAAGATGATGACCTGGCTGGTTTTGGAGTCAACATGAACCCAACTTCAGTTAATTAGGTTGATGTTTCTCAACTCCTGCCTGTACTGACTTTAAAACGCAAGGTCACTTCTGGTTGTTCTATCTGATTCTCAGCCTTGATAATGGCCATGATTATTATAGTAGATTGATAGTCATGACAGAAATGGTAACAAAAAAGAATTTGTAGTATTGGTAGAAGGTGAAGACATCATGACAGGCCTCTACTTGTGCATCCTTGTGTTGCGGGAATTGAAAAATTGTCCTTTACTGCAGTGCCATCATTAGAAGATTTTGTGTGTAGATTGCTTTAAATGAAATTCTAGCCACTATGGAGCTATATGCTAATCAAGCCTTCAACATCTAGTATGGCTAGTGGCCATCTGAGGCCAGGCTTAGTGCTGAGCAGTCAGACTGGGTCATGAGAAGTCCTAAATCCAAGGCTATAGCTACAGTCTGTGTAAAAAGATGTTCATAGTGTGTGCAGTGCCCTACATGTACCTACATAAGCTTCTAAATGTCAAGAGCATGCAGAGGATTCATGTGCTTGATACTGAGAAACCAGAGGAACTGCGTCTTTCCTAAAGGAGAAAACGATATTCTCCAATTGGCTGAATGTTTTTTCAATATATTCTGCTCTATAGCTACATCCACTGATCTTTTTCTATCTCTGTGCTACATTACATTGATCATTCCCCTTTTGTTTCTTTCCTGTTCATTTTTGTTTCATACAACTGAACTGACTTAAGAAATTACCTAGGTACCGTCTTTTTTCATCCGTAAGCTTATCACCCAGGTTTTCTCATTCATGAACATCCAGCTTTTCAATAGGTAATTGGTTCCTAACATAGAGCGATTTATCTACATTAACTAAAATCTTGGTTCTAACTATTAGAACATTTACCCTCAGCCTTCTTCTGCGGCGTGAATGCTGCACATTTTCCAATGGGGAATATGTGAAATCTGGACTTGCGGTGCTGGAGAAGTGGATTGCTGATGTTACAGAGGAAGTGAGTATCATCTTTGCTTGTTAACTCTACGTTCGCATCCTGATCTGCTGTTTACTATAGTTTGCAGGAACTTCTTGGCATGAGTTGAACTACATCAGACAAGCAGTTGGATTTTTGGTATGGCCAAAATATTTGCTCTTCTAAAACTCGACTGCAGTTATACTTCTGCAACTTCATTCCTAATTTGATCATGGAATATTATAGGTTATACATCAGAAGAGGAGGAAATCCCTTGATGAGATACAGCAAGACCTTTGCCCGGTATGTTTGTTCATTGATAGCATAACTTAGGATATGCTATTGTTCATTTTTAATTTTTTGTATCGAAAATCATTTTCTTTGTTTATCATGGCATATAACGGGACTAACCTTTATCTTTCTCGGACTTGAACAGGCATTGAGTGTAAGGCAAATCTATAGAATATGTACAATGTACTGGGATGACAAATATAGCACGCAGAGCGTATCAAATGAGGTATGCTGTCTCTATTTGCCTTTAAATTTTTTTGTGTCTTTTCTAGGCTTGCAAGTTCTATTAGTTATTTGCTGTACTAAAATTGTTATGAATATGGCAGGTTGTTGCAACAATGAGAGATCTGGTGAACAAAGATTCACAAAGTCTCATGTCAAATTCGTTTTTGTTGGATGATGATATGAGGTATGCCTTTTTTCCCCAGCCCAAAAGACCTGTGTTAGGTGATTATGATGATTCTTATACGAAGAACTAGGTGAAGTCAGGTCCTTGCGGAAGTTTTGGCTTTTCTGCAAAAAATCTTTAGCTTTTTTCATTGATCACTTCATCATTGTTATCCTTTAAATGGCTATTGCCATGTGCATTTGAATGCACGGATTAAAACTTGTATGTCACGAATTAAGACTAGGTATTTGAAATACAACCCTTTGTTGTGAGGCTAAATCCGTGCTGGATTAGAAAATCCCCACACATGCACACTTCTCAGTTGTCTCCTCCATTTTATTTATTTATTTATTTCAATTTTCTAGTGCTTCTCATGCACATCTTTATATCCAATATCTATTGAGACAATGAGATAATCCATTTACTCTCGTTTGTCTGCTGAGAGTATATTCAGTAGAAAAGAACATTAAATAGCAGCATGTTTTATGTTGGAAATAATGAGTATGAGGCGGCGGCTCATTTTTGCTAAATGAGTTATCAAGAGATAGCCATGTGATGAGACTCACTCTAGTTGTCACATCAAAAAGTGTGGGCCTCACGCTTAAATCTCTTGTGGCCCATTAATGAGCAGTCAGCTCACAACCATCAAGCCCTGTTTGTCGTAAGCAGCAGCTATTCATGAAAATTGAAGAGCCAAAGGCCTAACTATTCATGTGATATTCATCATAATTTAATCTACAGATAGTTGCGCTATTTTTATCCTTTGTTTTATTTATCCAAATCTTTTCCATGAGAAATGGGTCATCTGACTTTTTATTTCTGTGGATACAGCATTCCATTTTCTACTGAAGACATATCAAAGGCTATCCCTGCGATAGACCCTATGGATGTCGATATCCCACCGCAGCTTCGACAAATTCCATCAGCCCACTTGCCAGTACGGCGCCTTGAGATACCGCCTACTTGAGAAAAATATCAATAAAATATTTAAAAATCCGGGCTCAACTGCCCTCAATTTGGGCTTCAGCTGATATAGTTGCATGGGATGCATCCTGGGAATACTCAGTTCCCAATATATGGAAGCTTTGATTTGTGGCAGGAACGGTGCAGAATTTGCAAATCGTGGGATGGAGGGCTTTCCCTCATTTCAGAATGAGACTGCAACTGGAGCAGAAGGTTCTAACAATGGACTGACATTATACTGTACTAACATCGAACTGCACTGCTAATCCACAATTGTACTAACATTATATTGTAATGCACCCAGAAAGGCCCTGCAGCTATTCAGTTGCTGGTGGGGACAGAACCTGCAGATACACTTGAAACATCCCACTGTAATATTATGTGCAACTCCTTATTGCTCGCGATGCTGTAATATATTGTGAGTCTGGGATTTTTAACCAGATCAGCATGGGGAGATCAATATAATTATTTTATGATTCTGTTTTGTCGTTTGCACGTGAGGATATACATCCAGTTATTTCATACTCGCAATTTCTGAAAGATTAGCTGCATTGCTTGTTTTGTTGCAGTTGCAACTTTTGCCTTATTATATTTTTCTGTTCAGTTCCTCCGAAATAAATATAGTTTCACCCTGTTATAGCGGGTCACATGACTAAGTTGCAATTGATAATAACCTATTGTAAAAATTGCTAAAAAAATTCACAGTTGACTGGTTTGCTAAATGAATAGCAATATCGTGATGTTGTGGAAAATTAGAAAGCTTCGCAGAAGTTCCTTGCTCATAATATTTTAGCGAAGTTTATAACGTCTTACCAGTTTAGTACATACATAAAATTAAAAGAAAACGCAAGATATTACTACATTCTGCTCAGACAAATATTGCGCTAGAAGATAACGCTCCCCGTTACCAAAAATAAATACATTTTACCAAGAAGGTTTGAGTCGGGACTACCATTTGGGAGTGACATTTTCCCACGAGCAATGCGCGGCATCTGTCATCTACAAGTGTTGCCTCGCGTGCCTGTGACTAGTCCCTCTCTTTTCCCATAGACCAAGAGAAAACATAATGCTTAGACTTCGACAAGGACATGGGTCAATCGGAGTGAACATTAACCACTCAAGTCACAACGAAACATGAAAACAGAAACAAGCCCAAACGTGGACAATACAGATCAACCAAAACATGAAACACATAATTACATTTGCAAGCAGCTTTCCCATATTTAGGTTTATACAAAGAATACGATATTTACAATTGGGTGGGGATGGTTCATGATTATACAAATGGAATTTAGGCAAACTTGCGGCTATGTATATATTATCTCCGCAATCTGTACAGGTTGTGTTAGTACTGTATGCAAAAAGAATCTGTTCAACTGCCTAATAATTTTATACACCTGCGTATCCAAGGAAAACGAAAGGATATCAAAAAGTCAACGTTGCAAATCATATGACTGACAGTACATTATATATATATATATATATATATATATATATAGGTGAAAACTCCTATCAAACTTAAGTGGATAGGAAATAGTGATCCACCAAACTTTTTATCCATAGATCTTGCCTAGGGATCCTTGCATGATATGAAGAGACTTTTTATATTAATAAATGAGTGGCTAAAAAGTTTGGTGGATCACTATTTCCTATCCACTTAAGTTGATAGGAGTCTTGCTCTATATATATATATATATATATATATATATAGATATATAAAAGCTGAGATTTGTGCATAGGATTATCAGCTTACATTTGTACAGGTTTGTGGCTGCTGGAATCGCGCTGACATGAAATTTCAATTTTCGGCTCAATCAAATAAAATATCAGACACCAGCTTGGCTTCGTGGAAAAATATAAAGTGGGGCAAGTCTATGACCGTGAAGGACCAAGATACTTCTTCCTGGATTCTCTTCTGTGCGCAGGATCAAGACTGCAGATTCCAAGAAAGTTGTCAACAAACGTACTATACTTATTGCTTCTGAGAACAATGTTTGCTCTAATACCCCTTCATAAGTGATGCATTAAGGAGTTAATTGCGGATAGACCCCTAGTAGCTCTATTTGTGTGAATAGACACCCTCTACTATTGCCCAATTGTCAATAGACCCCTTATAGTTCTATTGGTACGAATAGACCCCCGTACTATTGTTGAGTGAAGTTTTTTAACTCTTATGCTTAAAGGTCGAATTGTCTAAAAACGATGTTCTTTTTCTCTGAGCGTAAAAGAGGCAAAATCTAGGGGTCTCTTTGCACCCGCTCCACGCTGATAAACCTTAAGAGGAGTTCCGACTAAAGCTGAGGCTGTTCTACCAAACCCATCACTTAAACTCTCACATGCCTGCAGAAACAGAGAAGTAAATTGCTGTTAATCTACCTTTACCGGTAAAACTGAGGGGAAAATGGAAGCTCAATATTGATACTAGAAGATTTGGTATTCTGTAAATATTTTGCATGACGTAATTGACCAAGGTGCAATGTCAAAACCCTAATAAAAATTTCCTTCTTTGCTGCTGTTCCTGGTTCATTATTACTTTGTTTTTCTTTCTCAAAGAATTACAATCTCCCAATATGTTGTAGCCTGAACTTTCGTGAAATGAAACTATACACTAATAAATGCATCTTTTATCACATTTTGAGCTGAGTTTTACAACAAATTTATTTTTACGACCATACATAACGTATTAGCAATAGTATAACTAAAGTCATAATTTCTGCTATTTGAAGCCTAATTTGCATGGAAACGAGTACGGCACAGGTGCCGGTATGGGTATGTGTACGAGACATGGTAAATTATAGGCTAAAATGTTGATTATTTTGAGTTGTTTGAATTGTAGGATAGAAAATTTCAAACCACATGATTTTTGATCCACATACATTTGATGACATACATTTGATGACATGTAGATAACAATGAATGTAGATAACAATATTATAGGAGGCGCTAGGCGGAATAGGCGTTTGAGCCGGTGCTTAACGCTTAGACGCATTAGCAGCTCCTAGGCGTTTGGTTATTTTTAAAATTATTTAATTATAATAATTGATAAAAATATGTATTAAATTCATATAAATTAAAAAAAAAGATAACGACCTTAGATTCACAATAAACCAAGCATACTTAAATATTAAACTAAAACAATAACTAACAAGGTTATATAAAGCGCTAGGAGGCCTAGGTGTTTAGACCCGACGCCTAGAGCCTAGGAGTTTTTTTTTTAATTTTTTAATTACAATAATTGATAGTAAACGTTATTGTAATAGAAAACTTAGGTGTCGGACTGATGTCTAAGCGGATTTCTTTCTTCAATTAAGTGATGGTCGAGAAAGTTTTGTTGAAGGTCAAATGAGGTAGTGGATGTGTTCATATTTAGAGGTTAAAGGAGTTTGGAGGAGGTTGGAGGACGTGGAGGCTGCAACACAAAAAATCACAATTAAAGTTTAAAGTGTGTAGTCCACGTAAGTAAACAATGCTCTCCTAAACACTCCCAAAACCTAGGTGAGTAGTATATGTAATGCCCTGGCGCTTGGTGCTAGTTAGGCGGCCTAGGTACCGCCTAGGACTAATCGTACGCGTAGGCGGATTAAACAGATGCTTTTTAAAACAGTGGTAGATAACGATGAATGGTGTGTATCATTAATATTAATGGTCAAACATATGTTTTCGGGTGTAGCAAACTCAATTACACCCTGTGTGTATTGTTACCCTCCCCATATACATGTGTATGTATGGAAATAATGGGTATGACGTGGCAGGTCATTCTATTAAACGAGCTACCAAGAAATAACAATGTGATGAAATAACAATGTGGTGAGATCCACCCTACTTGTCACGTAAAAAAAAGTATGGACCTCATTACTATATCTCTTGGTAGCTCATTTTGCTAAATGAACCACCACCTCATACCCATTTTTTCCATACACATATATACATATAGAGGAAATAATGGGTATGAGATGACAGTTCATTTAGCAAAATGAGCTACCAAGAGATATAGTAATGAGGTCCATACTTTTTTTTACGTGACAAGTAGGGTGGATCTCACCACATTGTTATTTCATCACATTGTTATTTCTTGGTAGCTCGTTTAATAGAATGACCTGCCACGTCATACCCATTATTTCCATACATACACATGTATATGGGGAGGGTAACAATACACACAGGGTGTAATTGAGTTTGCTACACCCGAAAACATATGTTTGACCATTAATATTAATGATACACACCATTCATCGTTATCTACCACTGTTTTAAAAAGCATCTGTTTAATCCGCCTACGCGTACGATTAGTCCTAGGCGGTACCTAGGCCGCCTAACTAGCACCAAGCGCCAGGGCATTACATATACTACTCACCTAGGTTTTGGGAGTGTTTAGGAGAGCATTGTTTACTTACGTGGACTACACACTTTAAACTTTAATTGTGATTTTTTGTGTTGCAGCCTCCACGTCCTCCAACCTCCTCCAAACTCCTTTAACCTCTAAATATGAACACATCCACTACCTCATTTGACCTTCAACAAAACTTTCTCGACCATCACTTAATTGAAGAAAGAAATCCGCTTAGACATCAGTCCGACACCTAAGTTTTCTATTACAATAACGTTTACTATCAATTATTGTAATTAAAAAATTAAAAAAAAAACTCCTAGGCTCTAGGCGTCGGGTCTAAACACCTAGGCCTCCTAGCGCTTTATATAACCTTGTTAGTTATTGTTTTAGTTTAATATTTAAGTATGCTTGGTTTATTGTGAATCTAAGGTCGTTATCTTTTTTTTTAATTTATATGAATTTAATACATATTTTTATCAATTATTATAATTAAATAATTTTAAAAATAACCAAACGCCTAGGAGCTGCTAATGCGTCTAAGCGTTAAGCACCGGCTCAAACGCCTATTCCGCCTAGCGCCTCCTATAATATTGTTATCTACATTCATTGTTATCTACATGTCATCAAATGTATGTCATCAAATGTATGTGGATCAAAAATCATGTGGTTTGAAATTTTCTATCCTACAATTCAAACAACTCAAAATAATCAACATTTTAGCCTATAATTTACCATGTCTCGTACACATACCCATACCGGCACCTGTGCCGTACTCGTTTCCATGCAAATTAGGCTTCAAATAGCAGAAATTATGACTTTAGTTATACTATTGCTAATACGTTATGTATGGTCGTAAAAATAAATTTGTTGTAAAACTCAGCTCAAAATGTGATAAAAGATGCATTTATTAGTGTATAGTTTCATTTCACGAAAGTTCAGGCTACAACATATTGGGAGATTGTAATTCTTTGAGAAAGAAAAACAAAGTAATAATGAACCAGGAACAGCAGCAAAGAAGGAAATTTTTATTAGGGTTTTGACATTGCACCTTGGTCAATTACGTCATGCAAAATATTTACAGAATACCAAATCTTCTAGTATCAATATTGAGCTTCCATTTTCCCCTCAGTTTTACCGGTAAAGGTAGATTAACAGCAATTTACTTCTCTGTTTCTGCAGGCATGTGAGAGTTTAAGTGATGGGTTTGGTAGAACAGCCTCAGCTTTAGTCGGAACTCCTCTTAAGGTTTATCAGCGTGGAGCGGGTGCAATATATATATGGAAAATATGATTCTAAGGAGCCACCTTAGATTAAATCTAAGGATGCATCTCTCGATGCAAGGATTTGGCTATTCCAATGGATGATGCGCTCCATTCATCATGATTTAAATGTCTTAAGAAATTTATAAAACAAAAATCATGATGTTTCAAATATATATATATATATATATATGGAAAATATGATTCTAAGGAGCCACCTTAGATTAAATCTAAGGATGCATCTCTCGATGCAAGGATTTGGCTATTCCAATGGATGATGCGCTCCATTCATCATGATTTAAATGTCTTAAGAAATTTATAAAACAAAAATCATGATGTTTCAAGAATTCTAACACATTTTTTATTGTCTCTTTAGTTGTATTAGTTGTATTGTGGTAAAACCGTTAATTTTATAATTATTTGATGCATGAGTAACTACAATCCAACATGACTAGTTTTTGTTTATACACAATCCAAAAGATAAAGATCAAAATGAACGGAGTGGATTAAGTAAAGTGATTGCATATAACATGATTCTCAAGGTGCATCCTTAGATTCAATCTAAGGTGGCTCCTTAGAATCATATTTCTCTGTGCGTGCGTGCGTGTGGGGGTGTGTGCGTGTGTGCACGGGCGCATGTGCCTGCGCACGCGCATATGAATATGAGTATCCTTTGTACCAAGGACCACATTTGGTCCTTGGTAGTGAGGGAGATGACTCATTCTTATCCATATATTTAGATGGGGACCACTTTCCAATGGGTTGGAGGGGAACATTTACTAGTGAGGCCATTCAAATTTGTCCTTGATACCAAAGATACTCATTTCTCCCTCTCTCTCTCTGTATGTGTATGAAGGGTGCTAAAATTTTTTTCCCAAATATGCCCCCAAATTACATGTGTAATCACCAAATATCCTCAGTGTTATTACTATGCAATAATATTGTTTAATTTAAAAAATATTATTTAATGAAAATTTATCATAATTTAGAGTTTTAGACTCTTAATATTTCATAACCAATTTAATAGAATGTATATAAATTATAAAAGCAATTAATCAACTAACAACCTTTTCATTTTCCCTCTTCATAACCTTCCATTCATCACTACACTATAAATTTACACTCCATCCTCTTCAATCCACCTTACCAACAACTAAGCCAAGTGCATAAATTACACATTCAAATCTCTATCTGAAACTTGACAGAGATTATATGGGAAATTTAGCATAGCAGAGGTCCTTCTTTTCTTTTAAGGATTGAATTTGCCCAGATGTGTTACTGCAAGTGTCTGTGTTAGTGCAAGTGTCTCCCTCTATAGTTCAGTTAGATTTTTGCGAATTTATTTAGCAATGAGATATTTTGATGCGATTTGGATTATACTGTAGTGAAAATTAAATTAGTTCTTATGTTGAATAGAATTATCCAGTTGTGTATCTATGCATTTTCTCTTGATTGTGTCAATTTTGAACTGCTCCGTCCGTTTTGTTTAGTAGTGGCCTCAACTCATCGATGAAGTGAAGTGAACAAGTATTTAGCATTTTTTTATTTGTGACATGCATTCTTCACGACATCCTTAACGACAACAAGGAATCACGGCCGTGGCACCGCTCACTTATTTCTAAAATACCATGGATATAAGTATTTTTATTAAAATGTTTGAAAGTTATATATTTTTGAAATACATTCATAGTTCTAAATTAGTGCAGTTTATACATGAAAATAGTTTAGCAACATGAATGAATGCAAGTTTAATGTTAGTAAAAGTGCAACATTTTTAATATTGAATTTAGCTTTTATTTTTGTTCTAAGAGCTTTATATAGTCCGGTGTCATTAGAAAAATCAGGGGTAAACTTCACTTAACCCCCTGACCTTTGGGGGATTTTCCACATTACCCCCTTAACTTCGTTTATTCTACTTAACCTTCCTGAACTTAAAGATATCTCACTTGATCCCCTTGAATTTTGAGACTTTTCCAGTAGAAAACCCCCATCAGCACTACAACTTAATTGTGAAATGACCAAAGAGGCCTTTTTTAAAAAAATAACCTACTAGGAGGTTATGTGCAAATGCCTAAATTTCAGAAGGTTAAGTAAATTTCAAAGCATTTTGGTTTTTGTTGATGGGTATTTGCCGGAAGTGGCTAGGTTTAGGTTTGATGAGAAAAGTTTTGATAGTTGGAGAGTTTTCTAAATGTTTCGATTAGTGGAGTGGAGATATTAATGAGTTGAGTTATGCTTTATACTTTTAGAAAGAAGCAAAATTGAGGTTTATCTTGAAGTGATTGATTGTATGATGAAAAATGTGAAGGGTTAAATTGTCGGTAAGATTTTAAATAGGAATTTGGAATTTGATGTATTTACTTTTGGAGGAATAAAGATAAAAAAGCAAAAATCCAATAAGAAATCTAAAGAACTAGGTTGATTTTATTTAGTATGTTAGTGCATTATTTGAAGATACACTAAAAATCAACGATAATTCTAAAGAAATGCCACTGAATACTTAAATTTATTAGTTTCTAACAATGAGAATGAGATTAAAGACCATGTACGAGAATGCTCGTATTGAAGGGTCAGGATTAATGTTCAACAACATAAGATTAGAGGTATTAAAATAGTACTTAAACACGATAATCCTATCCAACATATTGAAGAATTGAATAATAAAACAAAGAAATTTTATTCTAAAGCTACAACAATGATATCCTCTCATATGAGGAAGAACTTAGAAATTTGAATAGAACTTCCCGATTCACAACAAAGCGTCTTGATTCTTTCTTCGTGCATATTGACATAAAAATAATTTAACATAATCAGCATGTGCATAATTCACAGATATAGTAAACTAATCTATTTACAGTTAACATTTATATCATATTTATAAGTAAACTTGAATTTTGAAGCAATTAAGAAGGATAAAATAATGATTAACTTAATAGAGGATATGGGGCGGAATGGAAGAATGCGACTCATGTATAGTCCATTACAAAAATTAAAGATAAACTTGAGTTTTCGAACTTATAAATATAATAGTAATGTTAAATATCATAACACTTACTAATAGAAACTTATTATATTATATTATATTACATATTTAATTAACATATTATAATTTTATATAACTTATATTAAGACTCTACATCCCTTTAATGCTTAACATTATCTTTCAACATCATGGCACATTACCTTTAAGATCATCGTAAATTACTTATTGAATGTTCGTAAATATATGTTTAAACATGTTATTTTCAATTATAAGCCAATTTTATTATCATTTTTATGATCCAAATAGCTCATAACATAAACCCTTCAATGGCGGACAATCCACATGTTTTACATTATCATTTCTAAATAGATGGAAGAAATAAAATTCAAAGACTATTCACTGGTTCACTGTATCTTTCGACTCCTTTCAAAAAATTCACTTGACATAATTTTACAAAATGGGCTGTAACCTCATAGCCAGTTTCCTTATATATATATATAGAGAGAGAGAGAAACTTGTGTCAACTTAAGGTGGATAGCAAAAAGTTGTCCACCAAACTTTTTAGCCACTCATATTACCTAGGGATCCTTGCATGATATGAGAAGGTTTTTTATATTAATAAATGAGTGGCTAGGAAGTTTGGTGGACATCAACTTAAGTTGATAGGAGTCTAAGGAGTTTGGGTACGGATACGGGTATGCGTATGTGTCGGGTACATGTACGACTTCAGTTAGGAGTACCCTGGTAACATAGTTTGAAACTAGACATGTATACACAGTTTTCTTCAGAGCGCTGAACTTATAGAAGCATCCATCAAGAACTAACAAAAATGTCAAAATAGTAAGCATGCGTCCAGAAAATGTACCCGATGAATTCCTTGCTGTGCATCTTCAGGTTGATTAGATCTTACTGTAGTTCTTGGTCTAGTTTCAGATACCGATACAGAAGGTGGAATACTCGTGAGCATATATTCTGTTTGTAGCAGCACCTCATGCGCTCCAGCTGCTAGATGCACCCCAAGTCCAACAGCTTCAAGTGAAACACTTCTAAGAAAAGTGATTGCTCCTGTCAAATGAACTAATGAGATCAGGAAACAGAGTAGATTCTGCATGCAGCTTTAAAAATGAAAACAAAATTGCATGATTATTGAAGAAAACTAAAATAGATAACTAGTTAACTCATGTATTTCACGTACTTACTAACACACCTAAGGCTGCAACAGAAGTAGATGAATTTTTTGATATTACATATGAAGTTACTTGAAAACATAATCGAACTTTGTGACTGAACGCTCTGCTAAATCATCATTATGTCAAAATTGATGATATATTTGAATTACAGTCCTTTTCCTGTTAAAACATTTATTAAAAATAATGGGTTGTTTCACTTCGGAGTGGATCCTCCATAGCTATCCTTGAAAATATTGATGCTCTCATTTTCCATTATAATTTGTACCAGGGTCCAAAAGTTCTAGGTTTAATACAATTGAAACATGTATAAAGAAGAATATACTGGGAAAAGTCAAAGTTGTGATGCAGTACAATAAAATGATAACTCCCTTCGTTAGTAAAATGAATAACATAGAAAATATTCTCACTTGCCTCTTTGCATTCCCTTAAGAAACTTTTGGTCTTTTCTATAACTTTTGACTGGCAATGAGACCAGTTTAGAAGTGCCTTTGCTGACGGAAACAAAAGACCTCACAGGAGCAATACCTTTCAATAATTTATGAACCTGAAACCTCCGAATAACTTGTATGTTAGGATAAGCAAATTTGACAGATCGATTAAGCGTAACACAACTTAGTAGTACATAGTACTAAAAATGAAATGCAAACAAAGTAGGGTCACCTGATTGTGAGATATATCTTCCAACCACTGCCCAAATACAGTTTCGCAGACACTGCCCCAGCCATAAAGACCAACAGCGCACACATGCTTGAGGTGCAATTCAATTCCCTGTAGGAAAAGAATGCCAAATAGCTTATTAACATAGCATCAGTTATTGGAAGCCAAGAAACTTCTAAATGCCAAGACACTTTACAGTAGGCCATTTTAAAAAAGTTATGCAGTAAAACATGAAAATTTTCATATAGTACTGTAGAACAATGGATTAATGATCTTCAAAAAAATAAAAAATGAATCAAAAAAGCTACAATCAATCTTATCTTTCTGCAAACATAACCACCAATAATAAAAAATAACAATCTTAAGAATTACCGGGCACTCGGGCACTATTGTATACACAGTTTGTTTGAAAGTGCGTCTCTCACAGGATCTTATCGGGAATAGCAGAAAAATATCAACTAGCATAGTAAAGTTTATTTAGCTAATGTTTAGTTTCTTTCCACAACATTTTTAAGACTAAAGCCGAGCTGATACTCCAGTGCCAGGTAAGATGGGTTAGGATCCGATATATTGTCAAAAAATATTTGTTGAGAGTGGAATTTTTAAGCCTGTAATAGATAAATATTGACCATTTACCTCAACGGATCAGCATGAAATAAAATCTAGGATCCTCTTATTAACCAATGCTTTATGCTACTAAGTTCCCACCAATTTTGAAAGTGGTATCCAAAGTTTAAATTGCAAGAGAATGGCATCATCCCATCAATGGACATGCTTCTTTATGAGTTATATTGTTCTCTTTCCACCAGCCAGGCTACCACAACTAGCATTCCTTAATATTCTCAGCCATTCAAACATATCAGATATTGAGTGCGCACATGAATCTTTCAGGGTTTTCGCTGCCAACAGTGAAGTATAGAAACATGCTAAGGGAGGTAAAAGAGAGAGCAGTGGGGGTGGGGTGGGGGGGCATGGGGAAAAAAGAAGAAGAAAGAATCTCCACCTTCATTGACTATCATTGCAAATAACCTTAAAACAATGTAAGCAATCAGTTGTTGGCTTGACCTATAGTTCTAATATAATATGTGTATCTTTGCTGTTTAAAATCCTCCTGTGTTCAATTTACGAAAAATACAGATAATAAACTTTCTAGCCCCCATTGCTTTGGCAACAACTGAACATGTCCACACATACAAGCCCATGTATATACATACGACTCAGATATTAATATATTGTGTCCCATATCTAATTTTTAATAATATTGCATTCCACTAAATGTGCCATGTTTATACTAATGATCATACCACACAAATCATAAAAAACGCAGAACTCGGTTGATCACTCATTAAGATCATTTACTATAATAAATTCTAACTAAGTTTCCTCTCATTGGAATTATTATTACCATCAAAAGCCTTTTTCCCATCAAAATGGGGTCAAATATGGACAAGGCTCCATGAAAGATTTGGCAAAAGTTCCTGTTATTTAAATAATTACAAAATTTATCACCTGCTGACCTCATACAAATTATTCCCATGTTTTAGAAAGAAACAAAGAAGTAAACAGTGCAATATGTTCCTTTCCATTACATAACAAATTTAAAATTTTTAAAACTGTATAAAAATAAAATTAACTCCCAGTGATACGGAACATTAGATCTAATCATTTCATGTCTTTGCAGATCACAAATCTACATTTTAGTGATTGAAGTCCTTGGATACCAAGAAGACAAAAGGAAACAGAATGTGATTCCACAAACTAGATTACCTTCCACGGAACTAAGTTGAGAAGCTCTGCATAGTTCCCCCTTCTTAGTGCAGCCAGGTTCATATGACGAGGAATGTAATCGATACAAACAACTACGGGCTTCACATCACATTTCTGAAAATGATCAGGTTTTATATTACACATCATATACAGTATAGTGCAAGAATACATATTACTGATGTGGATAAATGAGTATTGTAAATAGACAAACTGTAATAGTGGACATTCTAAATGAATATTTCTGCAGAAGAGAGCATTCAGAGAGAAGCGAGACAGATATAATCAAAATGAATCGCTAGCATACATCATATGAACATACTATAACATACAAAAAGAACACAACTCACTGCATCAGGGTACCACAGACACAATGCATCACGATGTGGACTACATAATAAAACAAGACATACATTAAATCAAGTTACTTGTTCTCTATAATTCATATATTTAAAATGCATTTGTTGAAACAGATAATAATTACAACAGAATGAAATCTTATAACAGACCAGCTAACAGCCAGTAGGTGGGAAAAATGCATGAAGCTCAGGAATACTATTTACTGCCAAAGAAAGACTGAGTTCTAGGTACATTCAGGCAATAAATAAGTTTTCATCTTTTAATATTTAAATCAACATTTTAATAGGCATGCCATCATTTCCTGATTAAAATATGGAATTCAATGTTTTTCAAATTGCAACAGAGTCCAATAGATCTTAACTTATAATAATTAGAAAATTAGTTTTCGTAAAATGTTTTGAAACGTACAGAAAATAGTGATTGGTAACTTCTACTAAAACAGAGAAAGCTACAAATTGATGCTACCTGGAAAAAAGGAAGTAGTGCCTCCTCTGCACTTGGTTGGCTTCCAAAAGGCCCGCTCCCTATCCCTGTTATGTCTGACCCATCAACATCATTAGGTAGATTAGGACAATCATTGGCAACTGAACCATTAGAGAAGAAGCCAATAAGGAAGTTGAGTTGGCTTTGATCAAGATGCAACCGCAATGGTAAAAGCTCCAAATGAAGCCTGAAAAAAACTAACATTGAGACCATATAGTATAGAAATAGCTTTGTTTAGAATTAATATTTACAAATATATCAGATATTCTAGTTGTAGAAGTTAAAAAGGTTTGGTGCCTTTTCAATAGGCAGTGAACTGCTTAAGTCAAGTAGGAAAAAATAATAGCAGCAAAGCTCCCCACTCCCCAGAGAATGATTGATTTATATGAGCATCAAAAGCCATTTCCAACTGCATCAGAAACTCCTGGCCTAAAATTTCATGGTATAATATCCATATGGTTCAAAGAAACATGCAAAGATTGAAAAAGTAAACTATAATTATGTACAGAAAGCTTTAGTGATGAACATAATAAGGAAAAAATGGAAATGAGCTGAGAGCCCATTTAAGAAAATGGGCTGCCAAGACACTTAGGCCTGTAAGCCCCCCTGCTAGTCTCATTGAAGCAGGGTGGGTTGTTTTTGTTTTGTTTTGTTTTTTTGTTTTTTTGTTTTTTTTTTGGGGG